TGTGAGTAATGGTCCTATAGTTTCTTATAGAAATAGTTGATATGTTGACTTTATTTACCAATAAGTCCTTATTCAATCTGATAACATTTTTTCTTCTATAATTGTATGCAATCGGACGGAAAATCAAACGGCGTCACTTACTCATAAATTTTCAGAGGATCTTATTTGAAATGGTCTAATCCCTGGTTAAACATTCCGATAAAATTTTATAGAAAAAAACTTTATAAGTATGGATCGGAACATTGCATCAGAAATATTATACATTTTATAAGTATCTCTAAGACATTTTCTTATAAATTCTTATAAAACAAGTAATATTTCTAATGTAATATCCCGATTTATTCTTCTAACGCTATGAAACTCTATAAGCACGTTTAGTATGGTTTTCTATTGGAATTCATAAGAAATTATCGAGAATATTTTGATCGCTTTCTATAATCTATTCTACTATATAAATTTCTGGTGTCTGTCTGTCGATCCGCGATAATCTCCAAAACGACTTATCCGTTTCGACCAAATTTTGCACACATATAGAGGGCGTGATCAGAAAGGTTATAGGCTACTTTTTGTTCATGTAAATTGTTTATAGTGAGATATTCTGGCGGGAAGCACCAGAATAAAAGAGAAAAATATTGTACAACACAATATGGAGAGTCCTGTACAATAAAAGAAATTTCTATATTTGCTTTCTCTTCTTCTTATTTTTTTTTTACTCTTGACTGTGTGTAACCTTGAGTAATTTTCTCTTCCTCACGATCTCGAATAAATTTTTACAGGGTAAAATAGTGCGTACTTGTGTTCTCACTTACCTTTCGATGCTTCTCGAAGACGTAGATCGATATGGGAATTATGACGCAGAATAATCAAAATGCGATGAGAATGAATGTACTTTAAAAATCAAATTGCAAATATCAAAATGGATAGTTAGACTCGACGTTGCCAGAATAAACAATTGGTTCCGGATCAATTGGATCTCGTCTCAGCTTCTGAAGGATAACCCTTCTTTACTCCCTTGAGATCCTGTAATGAATGCAAACTTACTGGCCTGAAGAGTTTTTACACGTGGAATAATTGCGTCCACAAATATTATGATCTTGATTTTATTTTCAGTCCTCGATTAGAATAAGAGAGGATTATTCCCTATCAATTAAGATAGCTTTAAGCTCTTGAAGATAAGTAGCAATATAATTACAAAATTATGGCGAGATAAAGTATGATTATGTTTCGGGTACAGGCCGGAAGTTGTGCAGCAAGAGTTATAATTAATATGAATGTGATTATTATTACAATAATAAAGTGACAACAGCGTCGCCAAATACCTTAAACTAGACACGTGATTTAATTTTGGACTCTTTCAATGGGAAATTTTTTCCTCTACTGAAACAAAGTTCCTCACTGTGAAAAATAATCCAATAGACCTAAAACGTTCTTATTCATTCTTATAAATTGTGTATTACATGGAAAGAAAAATAAAGTAAAAATTACCGTGCTATCCCTCTTCCGAGAATCATGTATCATCATTGACACTTTTTTTTTCCGAAAACATCCGAATCCATGCAATATACGCATTATCTAATCGATAAATACAATTTACAATTGTTTATAACAAATTTTAATTGTTGTAAACAATGCGGAATTGTTAAGAGTCATATTTTATCATAAATAATATTATTTTGACAGTAACATCCGAATTCATGTGATATACCCATGAGTTAATTCATGAATACGATTTTCAATTGTTTATTACGAATTTGAAAAGTTATAAACAATGCGTGATTGTTAAAGGTGATATTTGGTTGTAACCAATAATGTCTAGTCAATATCGATTTAATATTTAAATGATATTGTTATTGTTTGGCATTAAAGTATTTTTGATAGCTAATTTTTTTATCTATTCATTAGTTTTATTGTTATAAAAAAAAAGCTTGACTGAATTCGTTTGAATTTCTTTCAGATCTTCTTTATAATAATACCTTTCGAATAAATTTTGGTTAGGGTTGATATCTCGATCCGTTCTTAAGATATCAAAAACGGAAAAAATTCTGACATCCATACAAACGTACATACATACATACGACGTACGGAAAAGTTAAAACTATTAAAGAATGCAGAATCCTATTGAGGCTCGATTGATAATGAAAAAAAATTTCTAAGTCGTATTTTTCTATTGACATCTATTTATATCCTATTGGATGTTAGAAAAGGCAAACCTATTGAATAATGCAGAATCCTATTGAGGTTTGATTAATTATCGAAATAATTTCTAAGTGGTGTTTCCCTTTCGAATCCATTGATTTTCTATAGAAATTGTTTTAATGTTCTGATTTTAAATAATATAAAATCCTATCATGGGACATTGTAATAAATATATAATTTCTGAGTTGCATTCTACCTGTCATATCTTCACAAATGACAATCATTCTTTTTCTGCTTTAAGATACTCTAGGATGCAAACTTAATCAACATTGTTACGTCTCAGTAACAGAATAGTCTCTTTTTCGAGTCAAGACCCAATCGTCCTCTACTCATCATGGGTGCGGAGACCACGCAGAATATATTTTAGATGGAGAATTAAAGAAATAGGAAAGGTTCTTAGTGCTTTACAAACCACACTGGTGCATTTATTTTTCTCAAAGAAAGATAGAGATTTGTTTTTATGATAGTCAATTCTTTATTTAATTTCTGTCATCTTTTTACTCACTAAATTGTTTTACAGCTTGGCTAACAGGTAACTAGGTAGCAGAAGGTTGTATACGCGTGGAAGGCTGCAGTTGCTTGGTTTAGTTGTCGCTTCGATTCTCGGCTCTCGGCGTTGGTGCGGTGTCTTTCGGCGCTGTTGAGATGATTTTATGGTTTTATGGCTGTCTTGGTGAAAGGTTGTCGTTGCCTCGTTGGAAATCTTCGTTGAAGCCTTCTAGTCGACTGATCTTCTTTCTTCTTACACTCGCGATTTTTCTTTTAATAATATTTGTTAAGAGATGAAGAAAAAGGAATTTAAATATGCAATTCATTTGAGAGAAAATCCACGTAGGATTATTTAATCTCAAAATGACTGAATTTCAAGTTCAAATAAATTTCTATACTGGACTGTGGACCTGAAGATGCCAGGATCGAATCTCACCATAATCAGAATTTTTCAGACAAAGTTTTTAATGAATTTCATTCCAGGTGTATATTTAAACAACTAATTCGTGTAAACAAAAAACCTCTAGAATGAATTAAAATTTCCTTTCGTTTAAAATAATTTTTTTTTTGCGGCAATAAGATCCTATTAAAACGTTCAATAGGTTTACCCTTAATTTTATAGGAAATTCTAAGACAACAATATTCCCATTGAATTATATAATCCTATTGAAATATCGAAAAGACATTGCCTCTTTTCAATGGGGAAATCGTAATCTCACAAGTCCTATTAAATACACTAAAATCCTATTGAAAAATCGAATAGGATTCTGCATTATTCTATAGGAAATTCTGAGACAACAATATTCTTATTGAATAGTATCAGATCCTATTAGGAAGTTGAATAGGATTCAGCGTACTTCAACGGGACATCTGAATAGGATTCAAGCGATTTCTATAGGAAAAACCAAAACGTTCAATAGGATTCAATAGGAAATTTCCGATGCAATTTCCCTATTGAACTCCCTTCTCCCAATAGGATTGTTTAAGCAGGAATTATAAGTTTTTGTCAGTTTATTTTACCAGAATAGTCGACACAATGATCTCAGTTAATTTTTATAAGATTGGAAAATATGATTCACGATCACATTATTCCATATATTCTTAAACAAACTTATACACCACCTCTCCTTCATTCTGGTAAAACTGAGTCATGAAATGATAATATACTATTTCCTATTTGTTCTTATAGTGAATTAATTATATATTTCTTTTTGTAGTATTTTCCTGTCGAATTCATCGATTTTCTACAGAAATTGTTTTAATTGTTTCTTTTTGAACAATATAAAATCCTATCGTGTAACATTGGGATAAAGATATAATTCCAAGTTGCATTTTACTTATCATATTTTTACAAATGATAACTTTTCGATCTCTACTTTGAAATACTCGTTACGTAGCAAACTTGATTAATGTTTTAATTATTACCAACGTTCAAATCAAATTCATTAGGCAAAAGTCATGCCTTCATATTTATATTTAAACAACTAATCCGTATAAGAAAAAAACCTCTAAAGTAAATTAAAATGTCCTTTTGTTCAAACTGATTTTTTTCTGTGGTAATAAGATTCTATTGAAACGTTCAATAAATTATCTGTTAATTGCATCGGAAATTTTGACACTATGAAAGTTCTATTCAATATTGTTTAATTTTATTGCAAGGTCGAAAAAGAAAGAGAAAAATTGAATATGATTATAAAGTTCACATCGAAATCTTATAAAAATTTGTTCATCCGTGTAGAAAAATACTGAAAAAAATTTAATACATTCCTATAGGACAATTGAATGGATTTCTATAGGAAATACATTTCCAATAGGGTTCAATAGGAAATTTCTGATGCAATTTTCTCATCCAATTGTTATTCCCCAATAGAATCGATGAAACAGGATAAACAATTTTCAGTGAAAAATTTGGATTGAATTTTTTTATCTTTTCAATTTAAATGCCTAGAAAAAAAAATAAAGATCTACTTAGATCCATTTTTCGGTACAAATAGATCTACTTTGTTCTGTGTACATCTGTTTTGATCATTTTAAATCTTTTGTGATCTCTGTAGATGCATTAAAATTTTTCTTTATCATCGAGATCAATGAAGATCTTCATGGACATACAGTAATTTGTGTAGATATACAGTGATCTCACTAGATATACATAGATTTACTAAGATCAAATTTTCGTTAGTTTTTTAGATATAAGTAGATCAAATATATTTTTAATTTATTTTAAAATATATTTTCTTATCTGTAATATCTTTATACTTCTGTGGATTTTTCTGAAATCAGAATTATAATCAATCGTTATGATATTATTTTTTTAGATATTGCGATGGATTGGTCAGATCATGCATTATGGTGGCCTGAAAGAAATCTTTGGCTTACGAGAACAAGAAGTACCCTTGACCAATATGGTGTTGCAGCAGATGCGCTTCTTCATTTCACACCAATGCATAAAATTTTACGAGTACAACTTCCAGATATGCGCTATTTAGATTTTCGAGTGGATTTTTCAATTAAAACTTTTAACGCCGTCATGAACTTATGTAAAGAATTGGGTAATCTAAAATTTTTATTTGTTATTTACTTAATTTTTACGCTATTCAAAAATTACTTTAATACTATCTAAAAAGGAATCAGTAAAAATTACTGTGAAATCGTGAATATTTACCAATTTGCAATAATAAAACTGCTACAGTTTGAACAAGTGCTATTATTATCACTTCAAACAGAAAATATTCACTGATTAATTATGTAAAAAATAACAATTTATTGCTTCACACTAGAAAATAATAAAATTTTGACAGACAATTTTTGATTAAAAATTGATAGGAATACGACATGCAGAGGAGTTATCTTTTTGCAAAGTTTTGGAACCAAATCACTTAAAATATAATTTAAAAGACTTACCATTAAAAAAAAAAATTGAAAATCAGAAGAATGGTTCATGGCAAATACCTGTAGATACGAATACATTTATACCAACAACACAAAATCTAAAAGGATCTAATGGAAGTTTAGAGCAGAATACTTTCATGTGTGCTCCAGTAACGTCAAATACCAAAAATTACAGTACACCAATTAGTTCTCCAGTTTCTGTATGTATCATAATCAATGACTATATAATAATATAGTCCAGTTTTTTAATTATACATATATTGTACATTTTAGCAATCCAATACGTTAAAGAAAAACCATGCTTCAAGTTTTGGAAATACAAATATATTGAATGACAATAATGTTTCGAAAAATTCAGAAACATTGATTGGTGACATGAAAGAATCATTAGCTCACAGTGCTTTATCGGTATCACCTGATGTTCATGCAAAGCTGATAAGACCGAAGAATCTAGTAGAGCGAGCAAGAATAAATGTTGCATGGTTAGATTCATCGCTCTCAATAATGGAACAAGGCATTCGAGAATTTGATACTTTAAAACTGAAATTTAAGTTTTATTCCTTTTACGACTTAAATCCAAAAGTTGATCTAGTCAGAATTAATATGATTTATGAACAAGCAAAATGGCAACTTCTTGCTGAAGAAATTGATTGTACAGAGGAAGAAATGTTGATGTTTGCTGCACTTCAGGTATTAATTGTTTTTTTAAATTCAACTATTATTTCACATTCATTGTACATAAGTGGAGCTTTACTTTAGTTTTAATGTAAGAATTTTTTCAACAATCAAAATACACAAAATATTTGTATGAACAATACATAATACATTTTTTCATCATACCTGCACGTAAAGTCCACTTTTACATGAGAAAGGAGTTGAACTTTCTACGCAGGTATAACGAAAAATCATATTCAGCCCTAAAGAGGACAATTAGACTAGCTTAAATCACGTGTTTATCGCTCTCGCTTTCGGCTCGGGTTGTAATTTTATACGGGGTTTGTGCTAGACTATTTTCTCTCCCTAGGTGTTAAATATACTATTTTCCATCCAAAGGACTTTTTTCATGGTTAATTATTGCATAGGATTTTTCCGAGTACAAATATACTATTATTAAATAGTTGAATACGATCCATGTATAAAACAATTTTACCATTTAAATCAAACTTGAGTCCTACTAAAATACAAGTAACTACATTTTTACTTTTTTACGTTAAACGATAAAAAAATTAAAAGTTTTATTGATTAAATATATTTTATTTACTAACTATCATTTTGCCAATTGAAGTTTCTTATAATTATGAATTATTTTGTCCTTTGTTTAATTTGTTCTATAAAAAAGCAATGATTTTGTCAGTACTGAGAATCTCTTCTTTATAATATTATAAAGAATTAAATAAACTATGATAACATCTAATCGTTACAGAAATGGCATATTAAATTTTTAATAATGTTAATGTTATATGTTATTGTAAGAAGAGATTTACATATTTTGATAAATGTAGAAATATCTCAAAGTTTAGAAACAGTCAGCTGCCATGTGGATCTCATTTTTCAAGAAAAATATATTCTTCTGAGGTTTCAGAAACTAAAATCAAAATAATTCATTATTATAAGGAGCTTTTTTCAGCAAAGAACTAGTTGGTAAATGATACTTACCTAATTAACACGAGACCAGAATTTTAATTAGCAAGTAGGTTAATGAATTTATGAATATTAATATCACATAAATTTAATAAATTATCAAAGTTATGTTATTTTCAAGGTACAAATAAATCTCCAGGCAAGTGTGCCCCAGCCAAGTAGTGATACTCATGATTTATCGTCTCCAGCTGAAGATGATATTGATGCAGCGCTTACAGATCTGCAAGTTACACTTGAAGGCAGTAGTATTAATAATGAAATCAATGATATCACTCAAATACCTGAGCTTTGTGATTATCTTCGTTTTTTTAGACCTAAACGATTTACTTTAAAAGCATTCAAACGTTATTGGTTTATGTGTCGTGATCTTCAACTCCGTTTGTATAAAAGTCGTGAAGAAGGCAACAGTTCAGAAGAACCAATTTATGTTATTAATTTACGAGGATGTGAAGTTACACCGGATGTTCATCTTTCACAAGGTCGATATGGTATCAGATTGGAAGTTCCAAGTGCTGATGGAATGGCAGAAATGTGGATTAGATGTGATACGGTAAAGAACCTATGGTTGTGTTATCTGAACCATAAAGTGAGATATAATATATCGATATCTTACATTATGCCTTATCTTTATTATATTTTATACAATATTGAAAGATATGATATTGTTATCATTTTTTTATAGGACCAACAATATGCAAAATGGTTAGCTGCTTGCAGATTAGCAGCAAAAGGACGTTCATTAGCAGATTCTTCATACGAAAGTGAAGTCAATAACATAGTAGCTTTTCTTCAGTTACAAAGACCTGCACCAGAACCTGCTATTAATCCAAGCTCTCTTGATATCATACCGGAAGATTACATCGCTCCAAGATATATCAAAAAACTTCGGGGTAAAGTAAGTAGTCCAATATAGTTATAAAATATTTCAATATATTCATTAGAATTTTACATTTTTGAGTGTGATAATAATGATTACATGATTGATGAATAGTTATTTGGAAGATAAAAAATTGTTTATTATTTTACTTGTTTTTTGAAAAATTCTTGCCAAAGGTCACTTTTTTATTTAAAATATGTAATGGTTTTGGCACAAGCATGATGAGAAATAATATTCAGCGAGGTAAGATATTCAGATCATCTCAAACGACGTATTTACCAATCTTACTTTTGATTTGAGTTGATCTATTTTTCTTTACCTGTTCTATGTATAATATAAAATATACTGTCACCATAAATCCCTCTCTCTCTCGTGTTAAGTGTTAAAGTTTCTTCTCAATTCGGACATTCGAAGTGATATATTTGTTGTGTAGAAAGATGAAAAAACATCACTATTTTAAGAGTACACACAGAAAATTTTAACCAGAATACCATGTTTGAATAACTAAGTTAAAAATATACCATTTATATTAATTAGTTGTACAAAGTTTAGGAAAGTTGTGTTACTTTTTGCTACTGAAAATTACAAAAAAAAAAATTTGTTAATTATTACTATTTATTAAATCTCTGTACTTTTTAAGTTGAAACCTTTTAATACTGATTATTTGGCTTACTAATATTCTATAATAATAGTAGTTTTACTAATATTTTATAATAATATTCGTTATGATTACTAACTAATGTTTTGTGACAATTCAACAAATTATTATCTATGAATAATTGTTATTTTACCATTCAATGCTTTTATTCAAATAATTAACATTGTAATGTTAAAAATTTATTAACTTTTCCTTTATGTAAAAGTGGTTAAAATAACTATGAAAATTATAAATTTGAAAATTTTCAATAAGTTATAAAATAGTTATAAATTATTACAATATTTTCTTTAAAAGAAGAATGACGTAAACAATTATAGAACCATTTCCGTCAAGATATGTGTATCGACGATTGTGTTATCTTACTATACAAGATATAATAATATAACATGTTACTTTGTATTGTTACTTAAAAATTTAACTTTAGGTGGGGGTAAAAAAAATGTATTTTTAAGTTTTATATCTCAAAATTTTGTTATTTCTATTTATAATTTAAAGCAAAATTTTTTTTCCAGTTAATACAACGAATTCTTGAAGCTCACGCCAATGTCAAGGATTTACCGTCGATTGAAGCAAAGTTAAATTATATTAAAGCTTGGCAATCATTACCAGAATATGGTATCTCTCTTTTTATTGTCAGATTTACTGGAAAGAATAAAGATGAATTACTTGGTATTGCGAATAATAGGCTTATGCGTATGGACCTACATAGTGGAGACCATTTAAAAACATGGAGATATAATACTATGAAGGTCATTTTATTAAACAATTTATTCCTATTTGAATATTACACTTTCAATTAACTTTTACGATTACCGTTAATTTTGATATTTTTTTAGGCATGGAATGTTAACTGGGAAGTAAAACACATGATGGTACAGTTCGAGGAAGAAAATATTATATTTGAATGTCAATCAGCCGATTGTAAGGTTGTTCATGAATTTATAGGAGGTTACATTTTCTTGTCAATGCGTTCAAAAGAAGCTAATCAAACATTGAATGAAGAAATGTTTCATAAATTGACGGGTGGATGGATTTAAACATAAAACATTTGATCAGTTAAATGAAATTTAAAAACTTGATAAATAACTTTTATATATATATATATATATATAATTTATAATTTATGGCACATGTTTTACTTTAAAGTCCTATTAATATTTGAGGTAAATGTTGATACAATCTTTGATAAATTTATAAGAGTTTAATAATTATTATAAATGATTGTAATTTTTTAATGAACTAATTACTGACTGCCTCATTTTTTTAATATTTTAAAATTTAGTTCACTTTTATGCTGACTACTATTTAGCAACTAACTAATTTTATTAAATAAAAGTTTTTAATTGTATTTAATACTGTAATAAAAATAAAAAATATTCACTATGTCACTAGCCGAAACATAAATGCTGCATTGTAATAATTATATGAATTATATTAACCATTTTCATTCACAATAATTTTAAGTTTGAAAAAATTTACTCAGCCATATTTATATAATGATTTTAAATATCATGAAGATCAGTGAGAATCATCGTTTCATAGAACTTAAAAATTGGAAAAATAGAGTAGAATAAAGTAAAAATTAAAACTTGAAGACTTAGGATTTTCTGTAAATAAATATTTCTTTTATTGCTTGATTTGTTGATAATTTTTTTTTTAATTTTTTCCAAAAGTTAATTCACACATATCATAATACTCGTAAAACTTGGATTTTTTTGTCAAATCAAGATGCAGTAAAATTTGAGTTTCAGAATTATCAAACTAAAAATTAAATTTATGTGATATCTAGATAGGAGATAAATTGGTATATACAAGAAATAAAAGGAAATAGAATAACTTAAACAATGAGCAAATAGTACTATTTTTCTATGCTGATAATGAAGGTTGGATGTAATTTAATTTATTTTAGCATAATTTATGGATTAAAACATTTGCTCCAAAGTGTATATATATATAATTAGCTGGATAACATAAAAGATTTATCTTTCTTCGTACACATCCATTCATGTCGCAAAATTCGATCAAGATTTAACCTCAGAGTAATGTCTGGTTCTAATATTTTAATTACCATATTTTTTCCAAGTGGAGACACTGTTTTTTGAGTTCGTGATCGAAAACTCCACTTTTTAGCTATTTGATCTTTAAGTAATTTATTTATATTGCTATCGTCAAATGGCATTGATCCATTTAACATTATGTAAAGAATTATCCCTAAGGACCAAACGTCAGCAAGCTTAGGATTATACGGAGTGCCGGATACTACTTCCGGGGCAGCATAAGCTGCAGAACCACAATACGTAGTACTAAGTACTCTTCGATTGTCACGGTCCACACAAAATCGAGCAAAACCAAAATCAGCCAATTTAACAGTAAATGTACGTGATAGCAGAATATTTTCACATTTCAGATCACGATGAGCAATATTTTTTCCATGAAGATAATAAAGACCTAAAACCATTTGCCGAAACCATACTCTCGATTGTTGTTCAGAAATAATTCCATTTCGATTTGTATACTCTAATAGATCTCCATTATCAGCATAACGCATGAAAATGAAAACTCGAGGACCACGTTGTAAAATGCTATGAACCTAAAAAAAATCATTTTTTGTATTTCTTTTGTTAATATCTGGGCCATTTTTTCTCAATACTTGTATAATATATGGATTTTCAATTTTTGTAAGTATTTCAAGTTCACGCGGAAAAAATTTATTAATAAAATCTGGTGGAGCTTTTTCTTCATCGAAAACTTTACATGCAAGCCTCATTTTTTTTGAATTATTTCCATCGAAATATTCAGCAAAGTATACAGTTGCATATGAACCCTATGTTAAAAATTTACGTATTATCTCAAATTATTATTTATTATAAAAAAAGTTACATTACCTGCCCAATTTTTTTCCCAATGTAATATCCTCGTTCTGCAAGTGCATTTATCTCCGAACTTTGTGGACTTAATTTCAAAGCCATATGTGAATTTTCTTAACAAACGAAGTTTATTTTGTAATTTTTATTACAAACTTGATCAAATTTGCAGAATTGAATGTGTCAAATATCCGTTTCTGTTTTCATATTTTATGATAAAGTATTTACAAAAAAAACCGCGTACAATATAACGAAAATTAGGTATAACATAACAAAAATTTTGGTTTAACAAAGTTTGTGTCATAATTTATAATAAGAAACGTAACCAAAAGTTGAAAGGTTATGAAATGTCAAACATTTCTTGAAGAAAAAAAAACAAATGAAAATCAAGTCCATCATTACCAATTAAGGTGCCTCGAGCGGAAAAATACAGATGCAGTGAGTGTTAAAAGTATTCGTACACCTAGGGTTGTAATAAAAAAAATACAAATTTGATAGATATTTTTTTAATTTATTTAATTTAGAAGATACTAACAAATAGCTCAGGGTCACTGTAATTTGATTATAACAAAAAAAATTTTTTTTAATAACAATTATAAACAGTAAAAAAATATTTTTATATCCACTATGCAAAAACCTGCTAACAAAAAATATTCGTTCATTCTCCTATTTATTAAAACTCATGACTTATTGTCAGGCAAAGAGATACAATTACAAAAACCGTTCTTGTGAACATAATTAAATATTTATAATATTTTCTTTTATAAAATCACGGAGATTACAATTCAATAGATAATAACAAAAAAAATTTTTTAAATTACCGTAACAAATACCAAAAAACAATAATTAAAGAATACAAAATTTAATCGACCAATCAGAAAAGCATAACCATTTTATTCATGCGCTGATTGGTGAGTTTTATTTTCAAATTTTCGAAATGGAAAAAATAAAAATTATCTTATCGAAGCCTTTTTAGGGGACCCTTTATCTATTTTAGTCATGAGTTGTTATTTATTTAACTGTCATTGAACTGATTTTAGGATCCAATCCCCAATCACCTGATACTAATATTATAGAGCATGTGTGGAATTATCTCGACAATAAAATTCGAAAAAGAGACTCCAAGCTATTATCCATAATAATGTTGGACCAACAAAATATTAATTATTAATTTTTCATTTATTTTAAATACCCGGGAAAAAATAAAATAGATCTTCACAGATACACATTTTCGCCATTTTTTGGATCTAATTTAATCTACTCATATCTAAAAAACTAACGAAAATTTGATCTTAGTAAATTTATGTATATGTAGTGAGATCACTGTATATCTACACAAATTACTGTATGTCCATGAAGATCTTCATTGATCTCGATGATAAAGAAAAATTTTAATGCATCTACAGAGATCACAAAAGATTTAAAATGATCAAAACAGATGTACACAGAACAAAGTAGATCTATTTGTACCGAAAAATAGATCTGAGTAGATCAATGTAGATCTATTTTATTTTATCCCGAGTAATTTTCTGAGTGTACGAATATTTTTTGTTAGCAGGTTTTTGCATAGTGAATATAAAAATATTTTTTTACTGCTTATAACTGTTACTTAAAAAATTTTTTTTGCCATAAACAAATTACAGCGACCTTGAGCTATTTGTTAGTATCTTCTAAATTAAATAAATAAAAAAAAATATCTATCAAATTTGTATTTTTTTTATTACAACCCTAGGTGTACGAATACTTTTTAGACTCACTCTATGGTTGACCAAAAACTGTCAAATTGCTTTAGACTTTTAATTAAACAGTATCAAAAAAGTCATTTTAAGCTAGTTAATATAAAAAAAAAAACGAAAAAAACCCTGCCAGACATCTATACATTAATTTTTAAATCTTCTGCTATGCTTTCAAATGTCTCAACACTCAAATAAATAACAAAATAACAAATTTCAAAAATCGATTTTTTTAAGCAAATCATAAATAGGTACTTCAAATTAAAAAATACTTATATCGATATATAAATTGCATGTACATTAGGTAGTGATAACTACGGTAACTTTATGAAAATTCAAATTATCATTTGATATATTTTCAAGTAAATGTTTCAAGTCCTCAAATTTACAAAATAAGTTTTAATATATAGTAATTTCACTTATGATAATTTTAAAAAAATAAAAAAATATTCGAATTTAATAGATCAAGTGCTTTATTTTTACCAAATGAAGCATATAAATATGTAATAGAAAAAATAATCCAAATTAGAATTGCATAAAATTTATATTACAAACGTGTAAAAGAATAATGTAATGAATGGATTAAATTTTGATTTTATTTTATACATATTTAATCTTCATTTTTTTCGTCTTGAATTATTTAGGAGATTTTTATTTATTATATATGCATACATAATAAATTGTAACGTAAATTTCAGTTTATATTATTTTTAAAACGTTATTGTTACAAATTTTTTTGTATAGGTAAAAAATTCGATATTTATTAATTCATGTGTGTCATTTAACGCAACATTAGTACTTGATAGGACACTATTAATTGATTTTTTTTATCAATTCTTACAATGCCAAAAAATATCAAATTATAGATATTTATAAAATATTCAGTTGTTTTTGTTTTAAGAAAAAAATATTCTATCATGCATGAATTAACTTTAAACATGATATTATATAATTTTGCACTTGATATAAATACCTGAAAATCTAATATACAGTTATATTTATTATAATCAGTAGAAATAATGTATTTTAATTAAATAAAATTAAAAAATACTTATGTTATTATAATAGCTTATTTTTGTTATGCAAGAAAATATCTCTAGAATGGTATATTTATTTTAATTACATTGAATTAGTTTATAAATATACAATAATTCCTATTACATGAAAGATAACTAAAATGATAAACTTGATACTTAAACTAGTTTCAATTATCAGTAGATAACTAATCAATGCTACCTTCTCACATTCAATTAAACTTAATTTAACTTTAACGAAGAAGAGTGGAGAATAGAAATTCAAAGGGGCCTGCCCTAATATAGAAACATAAAACGATTATAAAACACGGAGTTTAATAGATGAAAAAATCAAAGATTTAATTACTATTAAGAAAGACGATTTCTAAGATTATTAATCGAAACTTTCATTGATGAAAATATCTATCCACACATTGTTGACTTTTTTCTTTTATGTGAACTATATTAATTGAAAGAATGAAAGTTACATAAATTGTGTGATATGTGGACGGATCATTTTTATTTGAGATAAATAAAATTTAATGTCGTATTGAAAAATAACCGATAAACTACGTGTTGCTTAACTCAGTAATGTTCAGCATATCTTTACAATATATCATTACTTGCAGTCGAGTATGAACATAACAAATTTAATCTCTCCACCCTTCCTTAAATGGCACGCAATTAAATAATTAAATGTAAAAAAATATATGAAATCATTCAAAAATGTCTATTATTGTTTTAAAGATGTTTATAATTTCTAGTACGAATAAGAATAATTAAATAATTTCTACTTCATACTTAGATAGACCAATATTGAATAGACTCAATTTTTGCTTAAATAACTTTCAAAGTTACATACATATACAATTTATTCTTGACTTTTTGTAGTATTCTTGGTTAAAAATGCTGAAAAGTCACATTTAAAGCACTACAAATTATTCTATAGTATTTATTTTTCCGAATATTTTATTCTATATTTTTCGATATTTCAATGAAATTTAATGTATTCATTATTAATGCAAATAAAACATATTGAATTTTAATTATATACAGTTATTAATGAATTTTTGAAATATTCCGCATTAATAGCTTTGAAGTTATTAAATAATATGTTTTTACATCAGAGATCATTTACTCGCATAGAACTTATATTTGTATGAAGATTATTATGGTGATGTGGTCTATGTAAAGTACTGCTTATTGTTAAAGGACCTACCATGTGACCAGGTCTTGCCCATGTATAAACATATCCATCTTGACAAGCTGTCACAAAACAATCTTCTCTAAATACTAATTCAGTTAATCGTTCGTGAGCTAATTTTTTACACACCAAAGGTTCTAGTACTGGACACTCATCAAATCTAGGACACCAAGCAGTTCCGATTAATCGCATAGGATCATCCATTATTGAATTCCCTTTTTTATTTCCACTAACATGGTTCATATTGCTTGCATTTGAATTGTTATACGATTTATCGTTGTTTATCGTTGAGTTATTACTTGTTCCAGTTCCCTTCATAGTCAGACTGAAATTTCGTTTATGATTATCACTTTTACGCTCTCCAAAACCAAGTCCTGCAAATCTTTGGGTTAACGAATTGACAGTAGACACTGTCGAATTTACGTTTGTGCTATTGTTACTAGTATCATTGTGGATACTACTAGAGTCTTTTAAGTTCATATTATTTACATTAGCATGTTTCACATTATTCGGTACATGATTTGATGTCATACCATTACCACTAGTTACTGTTCCAGATATCGGTACAGTACCCGAACCAGCTGTTGAAATTCTTTGTTTTGCACAAACAGGTTGTCGTAATACGTCTTCTGTGATATCCCATAAACATAATTGCGTGTCTTCAGATACACTACCAAGTCTATAGCATGTTCCGCCAGATACGCGTAATTCTGAGCCTACAGAGTTTCTGTTGGAATTAACTTCTTGATGTGTGGCTGATAATCGATTAGATTTTTCATTAAAATTATTATGATTATGTTGGATTCCTTCATCATCAGATCCACTAAAATCAGCATCAGCATCACCATAACATGTCGTAAATGGGTCAAATGCAACAACGCTCACCCAACTATGATGGCCTTGGCCTCGAGCCACCACTCGTTTTTCGTGAAAACTCCAAATTGTCACCAAGTCATCTTCACCACCAACAACAACATATCGTCCATCGGGTGACCAACAGACGCACAAAAACCCACCGAAATAACTACGCGCTGAGCCTACTAATTCCATAGTATTATAGTTAAAAACTCGTAGAAAGCCATCTTGTGATACTACAGCAAGATTTGTACCGCATGGACTAAAAGCAAACTCGTTTATACAACATCCTTCAGCACCAATAATCCAACGATATAATGGATTTCTTGTTGATTTTGTTTTACAAGTATGAATGACGAAACCATCACCTGATTTAAAAGGTTGATAGTTCGGTGAAGTTGTACTACAAGGAAGTTCCCAATTATATAAATAAAGTTGGCCAGAACTATGAGATACAATAAATAAATTACTTGATCCAGGTACCCACTTAATACACGTAACTTTTGTTTTATCTATGAGCCTCTGTAATATAATGTTTGTCACTTTAGTGTATTTGTTCTGACAATTTTTCTATAAAGATATTATTTATTTATTACCTCCTCATTGTATAATTTGTTCAATTCCTTTTTTATTGGATCGATGAGTTGGATTTGACCTGTAGAAAATCCTACAAGCAATGGGGCAGTATCGGCTGTAGCTGTTGTTTGATTGAAATTGTGACATGTGGGATTTGTTCCTTTATATAGTTTTTTATCAACTGGCTTGTTTAGATCTACAGCCTGAAACATAAAATTTTTAATTATATCGATACAACTGTTATATAAGTAATGTTATACTAAGAACACCTTTGAATTATTGTTTATGTTGATGACAAACGACGCATAAAGTCGAAACATTTAAACTGTTCACATGAAAACGATAACTTACTAATTTTAAATCTAGAGTAAAACATGTTTACATAATTTATATTAATATATTTAATCGTATAATATTCATGAATGATAAATAACAATGTTCAACAAATAAACACTGTTTATTTATATTGTTGAATTCAACAATCTAAATAAACTTAAATTTGGAGATTCTTAATGTACTTTAACAATGAACGATTTTTTGTACTTGAAGAAAACTATTCAATCATGCTAATAAATTATTATCAAAACAAGTATTTACTAGAGATACGGAATTAAAAATCGGATAATGATAAGATTTATCTATTAATTGGAAAAGGTGTGATAATGAAATAAAAATAATGTCAGTTACATTTGTTTTAGGTTAGGTCAAGACGTAGAAAATAGAAAAAATGTCTAATGCACACATAAAAAAGAATATTTTATCATGTTCAACTAACCTTTTTAACTCCTCGATATACATACACAAAGAGTTCTTTACCAAAATTAAAGCACATTCGATCGCCAAGACCTTGAGCTCCTGTGGGATCAGTTGGATCCGGTAAAGTGACGAATGATACTCTCACCGAAGCACTTCCACGAGTGTCTGTATTGCCTACCCTATTTGGTCTTGAATATTCAGACAATGTCATTAATTTATAAGTTCCTTCTCGTGTAACAAACTGTGTTTTTAAATCTTCCTTTCCCCCGCCTTCTAGCTGTATAGCCATCTTACTACGAGAGATACAATAGAAGAGCTCATGAGAGATAAACGAAGTAAAATATACTCGAGAATCTTCTATCAGCACGTTCTAATCCCCAATAGTTTCCTCATGTATCAGTAAATTTATTAAGTATGTCTTGTAAATTGTATTGAATGTTATTTCTCACAATTTACTAAATATCACAGTACAATTTTATACTATGCTTCAAGAAAAGTCTCTTAGTTAGTAAATCGTGTTTTTTATAAGTTAATTTGTGATCTAACTCCACAGAATAGTATAATCAGAGCCCATCACAAATGAAAAAACCTACTGCAAAGAACCCTAAATTGATCTTATCTAGGGGGCTCGTGTAAAAACAACACGGAGAAGAAAGTATTGTGATATCAGTTGATACACTTAATAATGTGAAAAATTACTGACAGGTGACTCTACTTGTTAGACAACTGTGGCAGCTCCGAGGGTTCGGGCGCCAAATTTGAAGATTTCGAGTACACCCAAACGCATTAATGCATATGTTCATGCCACGCCCCCATAGACAAGATTTAAGGCTGGGCTGAAGTCAGAGAGGCGACTGATTCCCCCTATCTAAATACATGGGATCGGGATATTTCTAATTTCTTCGCCAATTTACTACTATTTCTATAAAATTAGGTACCAAATTACAGAGGAATTAATGCCGGACTGACGTAAACAACAATTTTTTGTATGTAGTGAATATTTTTATTAAAAAAATTAGAAAGAATAATGAACAAATTATGAGTTGACTTGCCGCGCTTAAATTCCAAGATGGCGGCCACTTCATTCAGACGAAAAATCACTAATTATTTTATTTTTATACGTTTTTCGCTCAAAATTCGTGTTTGCATCAGTCCTTGCTACCTATTTGAATGTCAAAAAAATCAATTTATAGTATAAAATTGAATAATTTAGAAATATTGTATTCCAGATGATATTCTCCGGAAAATTAGTTTAAAAAAATTCCGATAGGTGACAGCATTATGCTCGTAGATGACCTCAGTCATCCATATTGCAAAAATGCTCAATCCGTATCCAGAACTGATGGTGCCCTGCATTTTGGCAGAGAATAGAGATGTAAATAGAAGAGTCACCTGCTGGATTTTAGTTGGACAATTCTTTGGTTCACGATATGACGTCACAGCTCTAGTTCTGTGAACAGATCACCAGATGGCGTTCATTCAATCACGCCTCCTGCTACTTTGTAGGGGTAAAGCAGAGTTTGTGGGAGTAGAACCAATGTTAGGGGTTATGCGACAAACGAAGAAGCATCGATTCTGAGCGTACACGCATTCAACATGAATCGAATATTTTCCAAGTCCTACTGCATCAGTTATATGAGTGGAAAAGATGACACGTTTTTATATGTACAGATCGATACAGAATTTAATCCTCTATCGATTAAGGCTGGGCTGAAGTCAGAAAGTTTCCCGGAGTTGACTTTACGCCCTCACGTTGTGCGGCGAAAAGCCGAAGCTCGACATCAATTGAAATTGAGTAGGTAACAGAGAAATCGTTCGAAAAATGATAATTTTCAGGGATGCACTACAAAAAGGGAGCCTTAGGGTACCTACAGGGTACCTTTACAAATTTCAGAATAATCTGTTCCGAGCAAGACAGAGCACAAAATATATCTATCTATCTCCGTCTTATTTTTCAGAGAAGACTGCGAGTTCGAACAGTTGACGAGCAAGCACATTCCCCACCCTCTGTTACTAAGCCTGAAGCTTACGATATCTAAACGTAAACAAAGCAAATGAAAATTGCTAGCTCTATAGTCAGAAGGTTCGCCAGTTATTTTACCGAACGGTGTTCGATTCCAATTGCGGCAAAATTTTTTTTTTATTTAAATTGCATGTAATTGCAATTTTATCATGCCAAAAATGAGTTTTAAATTTCAATTTTTATGTAAAATTTTTTTTTCAATTAATCAATGACAAATGAGAAAATATTTTAACAGGGCCATTAACCTTTTTTTGTACAAATACATTGATAATAGCCTTTTTTAACAACTTATTAACAATAAAAAATAGTTTAAACAATCCGCGGCGAGTTCCGACACTTCACCGGCAAGCTCTACCCCCACTCTCTGTGCCCAAGCCTGCAGCTTATAATTTTCAAGCATCTTTTATATTATTGAAACCATAATAGCTCAGTGGTTAGAACACCAATCTTTTATTTTGCTGGGCAAGGTTCGATCCCAGTCATAGGCAATTTTTTTTTCTGTTTCTTGTTCAAGTGACTTTATATACTTATAAATCAATTCATATATTTTATTACATTATTCTTTCAATTAATTACGAAAAAAAACTTGTTTTTCTGAAAATAAGCTGAGGGTGAGGAACGAGTTACTATGAATTCTCTTTTTTCGAAAGTGTTGTCTTTAAAAGACAATAGGAATTGATTTTGAACTTATATAAACAACCAATTATTGTATTATATAAAATTTTAATGAAAAAAAAAAATTGGCTATAACTGGGATCGAACCCTAATCGGTAAAATGAAAGCTTGGTGTTCTACCTACAGAGCTAACATATTATCTCTGATATTATGTTTATGTTTATAAATTGTATAATGCAGGCTTGAGTACGAAGGGTAGGGATAGAGTTTGCCGGCGAAGTGCCGGAAATCCCCGTGGATTATTTCAACTACTTCTAAATATTTCTAAATTGCTTAAAAAAAGCTACGTTCATATAGCTATAGTAAAAAAAGTGTTTATAACCCTGTTCATATGTTTTCCGACTCGGCGTCGATAAATTACATAAATAATTGAGAAAAAAAAATCAAATCGTTGTAAACAATTACTTTTGGCATGTTAATATTATAATTACATGCAAATCTAACAAATAAAAAGAAAAAAAAACTTTATCATGACTGGAATCGAACCCTGCCTAGCAAAATAAAAGATCAATGCTGTAACCACTGAGCTGTTATGGTTCCAATACGGTTATATATGCTTAAAAATTATAAGCTGCAGGCTTGGGCACAGAGAGTGGGGGTAGAGCTTTCCGGGAAAGTGCCGAAACTCGCCACAGATTGTTTAAACTACTTTTCAATGTTGATAATAATATGATTAACTTGTTAATAACATAACATTGTTAATACATGTAAAGATGTAAAGTTGTTAAACACAGGCTATTATCAATGTATTTATACAAAAAGAAAGTTTATGGCTCTGTTCAAATATTTTTCGACTTAGCGTCAATAAATTCAATGAATAAAGAGAAAAAAAAATCAAATTGTTATAAAAGATTAATTATAGCATGTCAATATTATAATTACATGCTAATCTAACGAATAAAGTAGAAAAAAAAAAATTGGTTATGACTGGGATCGAACCCTGCCCGGCAAAATAGAACTCTGACGCCCTAACCACATGGCCAGCATAATCTCGATATCGAGTTAATGTATATTTGTTTTTACACTACATGCTTGGATACGCCGACTTGGAATTGAGCTTCCTTATTAACATTTATACCTAATAAAAATGATAATAATGGATGAGTATATGTATTTGAAGTTATTTGCAGGTATTATATTAATTAATGTTAAATGAGTATCATCATTTTTATTTATCCTAACTGCAATAGTCATCAAAGTGTAGGGCATTGTAAAGTGATACACTATGTTTACATCACATACATATATTACCCGTACACACACATACAGAATTTACTCGCCAAAATGCAGGGCACCATCAGTTCTGGATACGGATTGAGCATTTTTTCAATATGGATGACTGAGGTCATCTGCGAGCATAATGCTGTCACCTATCAGAATTTTTTCAAACTAATTTTCCGGAGAATGTCATCTGGAATACAAGATTTCTAATTATTTCCAAATTATTCAATTTTATACTATGAATTGATTCTTTTGACATTCAAACAGGTGGCAAGGACTGACGCAAACACGAATTTTGGGCGAAAAACGTATAAAAATAGAATAATTCGTGATTTTTTCATCTGAATGATGTGGCCGCCATCTTGAAATTTAAGCGCGGCAAGTCAATTCATAATTTTTTCATTATTCTTTCTAATTTTTTTAATAAAAATATTCACTATATACAAAAAATTGTTGTTTACGTCAGTCCGGCATTAATTCCTCTGTAATTTGGTACCTAATTTTATAGAAATAATTGTAAATTGGCGAAGAAATTAGAAATTTCCCGATCCCATGTATTTGGATAGGGGGAATCAGTCGCCTTTCTGACTTCAGCCCAGCCTTAAGGCTGGGCTGAAGTCAGAAAGTTTCCCGGAGTTGACTTTACGCCCTCACGTTGTGCGGCGAAAAGCCGAAGCTCGACATCAATTGAAATTGAGTAGGTAACAGGGAAATCGTTCGAAAAATGATAATTTTCAGGGATGCACTACAAAAAGGGAGCCTTAGGGTACCTACAGGGTACCTTTACAAATTTCAGAATAATCTGTTCCGAGCAAGACAGAGCACAAAATATATCTATCTATCTCCGTCTTATTTTTTAGAGAAGACTGCGAGTTCGAACAGTTGACGAGCAAGCACATTCCCCACCCTCTGTTACTAAGCCTGAAGCTTACGATATTTAAACGTAAACAAAGCAAATGAAAATATGCTAGCTCCATAGTCAGAAGGTTCGCCAGTTATTTTACCGAACGGTGTTCGATTCAAATTGCGGCAAAATTTTTTTTTTATTTAAATTGCATGTAATTGCAATTTTATCATGCCAAAAATGAGTTTTAAATTTCAATTTTTATGTAAAATTTTTTTTTCAATTAATCAATGACAAATGAGAAAATATTTGAACAGGGCCATTAACCTTTTTTTGTACAAATACATTGATAATAGCCTTTTTTAACAACTTATTAACAATAAAAAATAGTTTAAACAATCCGCGGCGAGTTCCGACACTTCACCGGCAAGCTCTACCCCCACTCTCTGTGCCTAAGCCTGCAGCTTATAATTTTCAAGCATCTTTTATATTATTGAAACCATAATAGCTCAGTGGTTAGAACACCAATCTTTTATTTTGCTGGGCAAGGTTCGATCCCAGTCATAGGCAATTTTTTTTTCTTTTTTTTGCTTAAGTGACTTTATATACTTATAAATTAATTCATATATTTTATTTAATTATTCTTCCAATTGATTACGGAAAAAAACTTGTTTTTTTGAAAATAAGTTGAGGGTGAAGAACAAGTCACTATGAATTCTCTTTTTTCGAAAATGTTGTCTTTAAAAGACAATAGGAATTGATTTTGAACTTATATAAGCAACCAATTATTGTATTGATATAAAATTTTAATGAAAAAAAAAATTGGCTATAACTGGGATCGAATCCTAATCGGTAAAATGAA